CCGCCAGTTAACCATTCAGAACTTTGACAATTTACACGATATTAAACAAATTCATAACACTAGCAAATCTAGAAGCACCCATAAAAGAAAGAGAAGACAATTTCTCATTACAAGTCTTAGCACGCTTGAACGTGTTGTAAGATCATTCAAAGTGTCCACTGAGTCATAAATTACTGCTGCAGAATTTGACATCACAGGTTTAAGCCAAGAAAGGCAAGGGGCTGGTGAGAATATTTTAGTGATGAAGAGCCAGAACAAACACTCCAATAACCAGTAAGATTGCGGTCAGTGGCATCACCAATAGGAGATCGGAAGAACATCCCATGTGATATATTCCACTAAATACTCCCAATTCTGAGGAGGAGGTTCCACACTGTCCACTGAAGGCTTTTGCAACGAATCCACCCTTTGGATTGCCATTACGTGAAGGAAGACTGGAAAATTGAAACAATGCTTAATCATTACCACGAAGCTTAGATAAGCTAGAATTCAATTTACTTATAACGAAGATGTAAAGGAATTGAAAGTTCAATGGCCGCAGCATCAGATCCATACGAGTTTAACTGAGAGTCAAAAGAAAATTTCCAACGATTAGACTCTGATTTCCAACTTGGCGCTTCTATGTCTATTTCAGAGGAGTTCAAAGCAATTTCTTGAGTGCTCTCATACTCTTCTGGTTTCTCAGAAGGTAATAAACCAAATAATCGACCTTTGCTTTGAGAAGCTCTTCGGGTAATGGTGAACTTTAATTCTGGCAGTTTATCGGACACCTCATAGGGATTCACAAAAGCATCTTAAAAATAAAAGCAAAATACATCCCTACTCATACATAATAAGCAGTACGACATTCACAAATATGCTGCTTTACCTTTGGCAATATCAACACCAAAGTAACAAGCATCATAAGATCCAGACTTTCCCGGAGTAAGAGAACAACGCAGTTTTAAATGAAATCCTTTTTGTTCTAAATCGCATCCAGAATATCTTTGTGGAACATTGCTTACATCATTTGCTAGTGCTCCCACGGTGAATAGGAATATGATAAAATATTGAACTCCCATTTGTATTTTCCACTGAGGGTTTTATTGACACACCTAAAGTGCAATGATTTAAAGAATTTTAGGCTCATAGATAGCGTTTTCATTAGTTAAGAGTGCAGGTTAAAAGTACCAGAAATATTAAAAGGAACAACAAAGCTTTTACTTTAAAATTAAACCGGAATATGCCAAGTAAGGTAAGTACAGAACAGAAAAAACCGCATTGTGGTCAATCTTGCCGTCATTTTATTTGTATACAAGAAATCACGAATGTACAAATTTGCCAAAAGATTGGAACTATTCATCTTTACTCATGCTTATATGTTCTTCTGTTTCCAATTTAGACTTCTTGGACATTATGTCGTCCTTCTCATCCAACTCACGTTTACGTCTACCATTTATTTCTTCGGCAGCTTTGGCAACACCAAAAGCATCCTTCGGTTTGACCTAATAAAAATAAAAACAGCAAAAGCATACAAAACACGGCATTCATATGATGCAATATAACCCTCAAATAATTACATTTAAAACAGGTATTTTTAACAAAATACCAATGGGTCTTTAAATAGCTCAAGAATAATTCCCCTGTTTAAAATGACCATTCGCCGGTGGGACAGTAGTAAACTTGGGCATTTGTCCAGTTAGAGGATACGAGACAATCCCTTGTGACACAAGTTATGTTAACATGGAAAGTGGCAGAGAAGGATGAGTGATTAAACGAGTACCACTGAAGTGCATGAATATAGCTACGATAAATGGAAATGCCAAAATTCCGTTAACGGGTCACCTTCCTCCCCTAATCGAAGTTAATAGATCAACAAGGCAGCCAAAATCAGTATGGCTCAAAAATGTGCAACGGAGTTTAGACCCAAATTAAATAGTACCGAATACTACAATTAAAAGACAAGTTACCTTATATTCTTTCTCCAATTCCGCGAGTGCAGCCTTATATTCCTTTTCATATGGTCTCAACTTGCTGGGTTGAATGTGGAAGTTTTTGGCACGCTTGCCAACCGATTTCAAACTGGATTTGAAATATCGGATCTACGATAATATAATCCAAATTAACTTTAAATTCATATAAGAAAGCGAGAGATCGTTGCTAGCCGTGTATTTACCTGATTATGATTAAGAAGAGTATAGGCCTCACCAGATTTACCAGCTCTGGCAGTTCGACCGATACGATGAACGTAGGTTTTGACTGATTGAGGCGCTTTATACGACACTACACAGGAGATATTTTTTACATCTATGCCTCTGGCTACTGCATCAGTGCATATCAATAGCTAAAGGCGAATGAAATCGACATAAGCAGTAGAATAGAGAGTTGAATTCATTTGGTATTGAATATGGAAAGAAGCCGGCTTACCTGATATTCGCCATCAGCAAAAGCCGACAACAAACGAGTTCGCTTCCGCAAAGGCATACCAGCATTCAAGGCACGGGCTTTAATGCCATCAAAGTGATTCAGTACAGCGGCCAGACGCTTGCTCTCTTCACGAGAGTTTGTGAAGCAGAGAATTCGCTCATGTCCCAACTTCCTGACGAGGTGAACCAAAAACATCGGCCTCTGCCTCTCAACCAATTCGACGAAGAATTCTTTCAGTCCCGAAGGAGTTGAGAATACACCGACACCTCCAGTACCAACAAGCGGTTCAGAAGTGGTTTCTTTATTCCCATTAAGAACCACCTTCTTTGACTGATACTTCGAAGCATCGATTTCTTGTTCTGATGAGGTGAGAAGTGGTTCCTTAAACTCGTTGCCTTCGGCCAAAAATAGACGAGGGAAATTTAAGCGGAATCTTTTAAGCAGTTCAGGATCATGAGTTAGAGTAGCAGATAGGAGGATCTACAACATTGATGAAAACTTCATCCAATGGGAACTTGGGAGACACAGTTATTAATTCGAACGAATACAATGTTATGAACTGAGGTATTCAAAATACATATTTAAAATTATATTTAAGGAACTCTCACGGATATAAACGCGAAACGATAAATGAATATCTCCATTCAAATATAATTTAACGATAAAAAATGCCCCGATTTAATGCACTTGAGGATTGAATAAACAAGTAGGAAAATAAGGTTAAATGGAGACTTTGAGACAATTTCAAACCAATTATACAAAGAGCCATTATCATTGAAAATCTTGTTTAAATTTTAGCCTCAGCAAAGTACCTGTTTAAAAATACTGTACGAAATGGCCAAAAATTGAAGGTAAAATTTTCTGCAATTAGAAACTCATAAGCCGAAAATGATTACTGAATGAACATGGAAAAGTTTCAGCTCATTCTCACTCTATCCCAAAAGATGCTGAAAAGCTAGCACGAGTTAAATAAAACTAACAAATTATTCAATAAATGTAGTATAAATCAAAATCCAACCCACTTTCTGAAGAGTAAAATGGGTGGTCGCAGTTTGTGATTCAATAGTAGGTAAGGGAAACGATCTCTTCAATTTTTCCTTTGAATCAGACAAATGAGCAGCCCCGTATAAAGCGCCTTCAAAT